CTGGGTTCTGGGCAAGGGGCCAGGAGGGGCCGCTCCGGGCTAGCGGAACCCCGGGGCTGGGCGGAGTCTCAGGGCTCACCTTCCAGCGGAGTGAGGGGTGGGAGTGGGACGGAGTTCGCTGCAGGCGGCTAAGGAAATCGGAGAGAAAATTTCAACAGGGGCACTGGGTCAGGCGCCCCTTGAGGTGGGCAAGCTTCTCCTTTCACTTCCTCCATTCCAGGCCCAGCCCCGACCCAGGCCTCTATGCACAGTCCTCACTGCCTGCAGGTGTGGAGTGGCAGTACTTGGCAAGGCCTTGGCACTGTGGACCCGTGGACGTGGAGTAGCCCTGTGGGGCGAGACACCACCAGTCTGGGCAGGAGAGGTGGGCTGGCCTGGTCAGGAGGCTGGCGCAAGAGTGATACCTCAGGGCAGACCCAATGATGTCACAGGCAGCAGGACAAGCTCTTGGCATAAAATGTGAGGATGATACAGAACGTCCTGGTGACGTCACCAATCAGAGGTGAGGTTGCACTGTTGACAAGATAGATGATGACACAAGCCTGATGTGATATCATTGCTGGATGACCCAATAACAGACTAAGCACCAGCAAAGTAGGGTTCACAACAAATAAGCAATTGTTAAAATGTTTCTGTTTGGGGGTCACTAGCAGGTGGCATGGTGGTTAAGGTGCTGGACTCCCACATGGCCTGCTAGGTTTTGATCTCCCACCCACTACTTGAAAATCAATCCAGGTGCTATTTGATAGAAATTGGTTGAATATGGAAGATTTATTGCTGAGTGAAGCCAGGGTATGAAAGAAAGATATTGTATGCCTCCACTTAACATATATTGACCATCGGGACCAGCAAGGTGGTGTAGTGGTTAAGGCGCTGGACACTCCCACATGGCCGACCACGGTTCGAATCCTGGACCTGGTGGCTTGCTTCCTCACTTTCCTTCTCTCTCTGTGTATCTCTCTGGTCAAATTAAAATAAATTAAATGAATAAATAATTCTTTAAAAAATATATTGACTAACTGTACTCTATGGTAGACTGAAAGATTGGAGGGCATAAAAGCAGTGAAAATAGTTATGGACACTGGAGACAGAGTAAAAGGGGGGGTGGGAGAGGGGAAGAGTATAGGAAAGGACATTAAAGGGAAAATAGAGAAGCAAGACATTTGTGGGACACGGTAATGGTTTATTACCTGTTGATGATAATGGGTATAGTATTCTCTACTGGACTGGTTTGAGGTGTATTTCATGTTGGATAAATTCTCCTTGCAAGACAAATGATGTGTAACTATTGAATGCTTAAAAAAAATGTTTTTTTAAGGAAAGAAAGAAAATCAGGCCAGATGCATGTGTGAATAGGCCCCAAATCCTGAGAGGAGCATGGAGAGAAGGGATTGTGGTGTGGCCATTCCACAGTGGGGTGATTTCTCATTTTCCCTCCCTCTCTCTCCAGCAAGTGCATGCACCTTGAGGGGAGGGGGAATCCTTTTTTGGTTTTGCTTTTTTTTTTTTTTTTTTCCAGAGGGACAGAGTAAAACAAACAGGGCTTAGGATTACTTTAATCTGCAATATTCTCATTTTGAATTACACTGTTGGGGCACTATAGTGTTCTAGTACATAGGGTCCCCCAGAGTACTATGGCCTGCTGGCCTTCATGCATCCATTTAGTAGAGATTTCTGAGGCCCACAGTGAGCTTTGAGGCTGGAGGACTCTCCTGGGGATTCTAATCCTGGCTGGAGGCCAAAGGTAAACAAGATAATCACACCGTTTTAAGAGACAGAATGGAAAGAGGTAGAGAAAACCCTCTTTTCCTTCGGGTCTTGAAGGCTTCTGTGAGGTGGGGTCTTCCGGAAAATCCATTTTACAAGACCCCAGAGGAAGAAAGGCTTTCCCAACAGAAAGGGGGAGGGGCAGGCAGAGCTAGCAGGGACTAGGGGCTTTTGCCTAGGGAAAGTTCTGGGGAGCCTTGGAGGGGGGCTTTTCTGAGCACGGGAGTAAGCTGCCTGCAGCTTCAAAGAGTCACGTTGTCGACCGCATGCGTTACCCCTTTCCCGAGTCTCTGTCCAGAAGCTGTCTCTCCTCTCTTTAGACCAATCCCAAGAAAAATGTGGTGCCCCACCTCCAGGAAGCCCTCTGGGATGTTGGCGCTTTACAATCCTTCCGCCATTGATTCCTCTTCTGCGTGAAGGTGGGATGAGAGGCAGCCCAGTCACAGCCTGCCGTCCCCCCCCCACACACACACACACATACACAGTCTACGCAGAGGTGTATGCCTCCGAATTGGCGGCAAGACCAGGCTGCTACTCTGGGGGGCGTGGCGGCGGACCCCAGTTGCGTAGGCGCGGACTTTGGAAAGCTGAGGCTGGTGGCCAGGAGTCCGCGGAGGTGACCGTGCTAGCGGAGAGCCCTGGGGTCGCTGACAGGGGACCTGCTCAGCTGCCTGGAACCTCTGCTCCTGTCCGTGCTGGGGCTGCTCAGGCCAGTCCTGATGTCGGGATCACCAGGATCGCGCTCCCCCTCCTCTTCCTCCAGGGCTTGCCGGCCAGGCCAAGACAGTAAAGCCTGCGAGCGCCCCCAGCGGCCGTAGTCGCCGCCTCTTCTTGCTGAGGGTCGTCTCCGCGGAGCCCACAGCCTGTGGCTCTCCACGCCCCTGGGCTGGGCACCTGGGAAGGGGCTAAGTGGGCTTCTGACCTCCCTCAGCCTCACGCGCCGAAACAGGACAGGTGGGGAGCGAAGAACAGGAGAGACCAGAGAAGCATCGTTCTTGACGGTTCTTTCCCTCACTGGTTAGATGGGCTCTCTCAATCCTCCTTGCACCTGTCTCCTCACCTGTAAAATGAGTTTCTATTTATCCAAGGACTACTGAGAAGATAAGTGAGATTTTTTTTCCCTTTGCTAGAAGGCATGTGCACTCACTAGAGAAATAGAGACAGAGGAGAGGGAGAAAGCATCCCCCATGGAGCCTAGTCATACTACAATCCCTTCTCCATCTCTCCATCCCTTCCGGGTTTGAGAGCACACTAGTACACGTGCCCAGGTGTTTCTCAAGCCATGGAATCAAACCAAAGGGTTGGCCATGTTGGATCCAGCTCCCTTACTCAAACCACAGGGTTGGCCATGTTGGATCCAGCTCCCTTAACTACCAAGCCATGGAGCCAGCACAGCCCCCTTCTCCCCAAACCACAGTGTGGGGAGAAGCTACTGGAGCCAGGTCTTGAATCCTGGTCAGTCACGTGGGATCTAGTTTCCTCTGAGCAGTGCTTAACCACTGTGCTAAGGAGCTAGCCCCTGAGGCTGAGTTTTAAAGAAGCCACACACGTCCAACTTGCTATCTTGGGACACCCACTCTTGGAACTCAGCTGCCATGCTGTGAGGAACCCCATGAAGAGACTCCAAGGAAAGATTCGATAGAAAGGCTCCAAGGAGAAACCCTGTGGAGTGGTCCGTGTAATTGCAGCAGTCAGCAGCCCGTTGGAGCACCCAGCTGACAGCCAGAATCAGCCAGACGTGACTGAGACACTTCCAGATGATCCCAGCCTGCAGCTGCCGAGTCACTGCACTTCACAGCTTCCCAGTCAAGGTCTCAGACGTGGCACTGCAGTCTCTGAATGCCCTACTCCCATACTTGATCCACCAAATAGGATGGCTGTTGACCATAAGGTTTTGGGGTCATTGTTACACAGCGTTAACTGGCATAGCAGGGATGGACTGACCCCTAGGGGACCCAGGAAGAACGACCCTTTTCTCCCCAACCCCTTCCTCCTTTTCTTGGTTTCTTCCCTTCTCTAGCAGTTGGAGAGGCTCGGGGGCTTCTCAATCCTTTCTTTCCCTCTGACAAGACACTTCTTAGGAGTGTCAAAGACCTGCTATCTTCCTAGCCCCACGTGAATCAAGCCCCAAATGGCTGGTGGTCCCAGGGACATGTCTAGGGACCATTGTTGGCTAGAGGGTGATGGAAAGCAAAGAGGCATACACAGGTTTAGTGGGAAGCCTAAGGGAAAAATAGGGGTATCTTCCAGGCTACACATGGTGCTTCAGCCTTGGGAAGGGGTCTCCTCATTTCTGGCCACCATGACAGTACTCCATGCCCCAACAGTCAGCCTGTGTCTCTGGAGGGCTTGTCAAGTGTTGGCCATGAACTCCCTTCCCAACCTCTGACCTAGAGGTGGTGACTGTGTCTGTGCCCTACCGCTCGGTATCCCCCTTGCACATGGTCTCCAGAAGGTCAGAAACCTGTGGGCCACCTCCTCTGCTGCACAGCCTCCTCGGGGTCCATTCCTGGTCCTCTTGCCAAGGGGCAGCAGCCCATGGACTTACGCAGCTCAGTAGAGATCAAAGCTGTCAAGGAGCAAGGTTAGAACTGTAATGGGTTTCTTTCCTGGGGTGTGGAGTTGGGCACTGAACAGGTGTTTGCTGGACTCCTAGAGATAGAAGACCAAGGTTGAGGGGCCAGCAGGTGGAGTGGTGGTTAAAAACACTGGATTCCCATTTGGCCAACTATGGTTTGGGTGCCAGACCTAGTGGCTTGCTTTCTCACTTTCCTTTTCTCTCTCTCTGGTCAAATTTAAAAAATAATAATAATAACAAATGGACTTAAATAAATCTTTAAAAAAAAAAAAAAGAAGAAGAAGAAGACCAAGGTTGAAGGAATCAAGGATGCAGAAGAGAGACTCAAGACCCTGGGTTTTGGCAGAAGCAGAGACACCAGGTTGCAAACATCAAGGTTCCAGCCATTCCCAACAGCTGGAACAGAGGTGACTTCTTCCGCTCTTACAGCCCATAGGACGTAAACAACTCTCAGCAACCTCAACATCTGGGCAGTGATAACATCTTCCCCATGATCTGGGCATG